AACTACTATTAAAGAAATAGTATCAGAAATCACACTTATATTTATAAACTACTAAACAGCACAGTACCTGCAGGTAAATGTGGAGATCCAACTCTGCCTATATTTATATTAATTGTATTCATATTTATTTATGCAGAGCAAAAGTAACAGGAATCCACAGCCAAAAGTGCTTGTTGAAAACGAAAGTATTAAAGGGGTCATATGATGCGATTTCAAACGAAGCGTTTGAGAGAGGCAGGGCATAGAGGACCTACAATAATGTACAGTATTTGAAAAATAATGTGTTTTTTGAACATTAAAGCATGTCAACATATTCTGTTATACCAAATACACAAAATAATGATCTTTAAAAAAGCATCATATGACCCCTTTAAAGTATTTTTGTACACCAGAACATAGTGGCTGTGTCTGAAACATAAAGGCTCATTGGAAAAACGTGCCTCTACCTAAATTTCTGCGAAAATCAAAGTACCTATACATTCAATTCACTCTAAAAAAACATATTCTTAAAGTATTTATACATGTCCATTTAAAAAGCTGTAAGAAAGACTAACAATCAACCAGAGCCCAAGAAGGGGAAAATCCTCATGAAACCTTTTCTTTAAATCGTTACAAAAGTAAGGGTGCTTTCATACTAGTACTTTTGGTGCTAGTTGACGTCAGAAATATAATGGTGAGAGACTGAGACAGAGAATTTGAACGATGAATATTGAGGACATTTGAGGCATTGAAGAGCACATGCAAAAATGTGTCTGGTTGGAGAAAAAGTGATGAAATGAAAGGGGGACAATTAAGCATTGTTCTGTGTCACTCACTCCATATCAGATTTCTCTTCCTCAAGATTTCTCCAACACGTCTTCAGCCTGTGTATCGGTGGGCACAGTGGGTCAGCTGTGTTCTCTCAATCTTTGATGTCATCAGCTTTCACATATTGCAGCTGAGTAAGTACAGCTGAGTCCTGTCATAGACTTCAGTGATGCTGCTCTGATGATGACAAAGCATTTTCATCTGCTCTCTTTGAAACACTCCATCTCATGCTCCTTTATATACTTTATATCCTGACCAGGCTCGATGCAACAAGCGATAAAAGGTACCTCTTCTATGTTAATCCCATTTTTATCCTAACAAGTCTTGATATTAGCGACACTATATTTTATCAACCAGTTTTATTTTATTCCTGCTGTGTCCCACCAGGTAGCTCCATCCAGAATTTCACTAAACCAAAACCTTGCTCTGCAATGTACAGTAAATAATGAAACAAACATAAGAGCTGAGAGATTGATTGTAGAATTTTAGAAACATTGGATATTGACAAATTTAACAAAAACTATAAAAAAGCACGCTGTCTGGTGAAGCATAACTGAAATCATGAAAACAAGGTATGTGCCTTTATTTTTATGCTCTTCAGCTATGCAGTATGTTGTGAGTGTGACAGAACCAAGTATTTAAGAGAACGGATTCACATACTCTTCTGATTGTACAGCATTTTCACTATTGATGAGAACAGAAAAACTGCTTGTTGCTGGAATCAGGGCCGTAACCACCATATACCAATTAGAGGGAACAATATTTAGGTGCTGCCAGTGTTCTGAAAGCACTTGTAAATGTCAAATTGATTGAAATGGCCAATCACATCAAAGACTGGCTTTTCTGTTCACAGAAGCCAAGTGCAAATTCCAGCACAACGCTTTGTTTTTAACAATAAAAGAGTGTGAAGTAGCTTAACATTTAATATTTGACATGTTTTACGGAGAAAAAACAATATGACCGACAGTAATAACCAGTGATGCAAGCCGAAATTTCAGTGCATCTCTAATTATTGGCGACATTAGAAATGGATATTATATAATAGCTGCTTTTTTGAACATTTTAGCAATTTAAAAATATTTTTTTACACGGCACCCCTGCTCTCGACAGACACTGTTGGGAAACACTGTTCTAAATAATGCCGCCAGTGGGGCTTGAGGAAGTGACGTCGCCTGCGTCTGCGCAGTGCGACCTGATGCAGCCCCTGAAGTGAGACACAGGAAACAGAAATACTGCAAAATAATAATAATAACGCGACTAAACGAGACGAAATAACGTTATAACATTTCGTTTCGTCTCGTTTTGGTCAACGAAAATGAAGAGACATTTTAGCATAGTTTTTATTTTGTAAACCACATTTAGTCTCGTTTTTATTCGTCAACAATATTGCATTATACATTTAATTATAGTCATCGTCACATGATCAGCATTTACGTTGCGTCTCGTCTCGTTTTCGTCACGTGATAAAGATTCGTTGACGACGATATTTAGTCATAATTTTCGTTGACGAAAGCAACACTAGATCCAAGCTATTTACGCTGTTTGGAATTAGGCTATATCATTTATGTAATTCATGCAATATAATTTGTAATGGTCACACTTTATTTTAAGGTCCAATTATCGCTATTAACAAACAATTTAACTATGCCTCAATAAACTCCTAATTTGCTGCTTATTAATAGTTAGTAAGGTAAGTGTTAAGTTTAGGTATTGGCAGGATTAGGGATGTAGAATATGGTCGTGCAGAATATGTGCTTAATAAGTACTAATAAACAGCCATGTTAATAACAGGCATGCTAATAAGCAACTAGTTAATATTGAGAATTGGTTCCTGTACTAAAGTGTTACATTTGTAATTGAATGTGAGCATACATATTTTAAAATAAAAATATTATTTATAAATAAAAATGTCCATTACATTTGTAACACCACCTAACCGACCCCTGATTCCCTGGTTGGAATCATATCTTTTTAGTATCTCATTAAATATGTTAATTAAGTAGTCAACCTTTGGCATTAAAGTACCTGCATCCATATATGCCTACTTATCTATAAAGTATGCAAAAAACAGCAGTAGTAAATCAGTAGTATGTCAATAGAGAAGTCAACAACTGCAGAACATTCTGCTTTCCAACAAAGATACTGCATTGGCTGTTGATCTGTGATCAGGTCTAATGTTTTCTATGATTATAGGTTATGGAATCAGTTTTTAGATGATGTCTAGCCACTTCTAGAAATGGTTCAGCATATAATAGCTTCTAAACAACAGTCATGTTTACATTAGGTCATCATGCAGTAATGAGAGGATGGAGCACTTGGGAAGTTTTTAACCCAAAAACCTCACATAGACACACATGCATTACATTCTTCAGCACTTAAATACACACTTTGCACTTAGAGGTCATAAAATCACCTACAAGAGGATCCCTAATGCACTTATATAAACCGACTGAACCATACAGCTAGTCAGCCATGCATGTAGAAATGACATCTAAAACATCAAGAGCATACACCTTTCTTATTCATTTGGTCCAGCCTATGAAAAATATGTCCCTATAACCATGCACTATTATTCGAAGTCTGTGGATGACTGTCTACTTTTTGTATGTTTGATCAGTGTAATTGTATAATAATGTAATGAAGGTGGTCAATACTGCTATTTTCCCATCATGATGATTACACTATTAAACGCTAAATTCACAAAGTGTAAATGTAAAATTATGCAACCACTGGCATGAAAACCGCAACAGAATCAATTAGTAGTATAATATAAGAATTGATATAACAGAAAAACAGACAGATACATACAGAAATCCATAATAAGAGATACACATTCTGGAATAATGAATGTAATTAAGCACAGCAAGAGAGAAACGGTACAAGCATATTTCATAGTAACCGCAGCCTGGTTTAAAAAGAGCAATGCAGATAAAAAAAAAAACTAGCATATGGAAAAATAAAGACATGCAACATAAAAGTAAATGTGGCTTGCATGCTACATGTTTTTTTAAAATGAACTAGATATTTCTTGTTTTAAATTTACAATGGATATAAGAGAGGGGTAAGCAATCAGATGGCCATTGCCACAAAATATTGATTTGCGTAGAAATTATTTTATTATGTGAGAAGAAAGAGAATGTGGAGTGTCCAGGATTGACCTTTCCATGTTTATTTTTCTGGTAAAGACTTTATGAATAATGATGTAAATTATTCTGTATATGGATGCTTAAAAAATAACTAAATTCATGGACATGAAATTGATTTGAAATATTGATTTGAGATTCTTTGTAGAAACTGTAGAGAAACAAAGCACAATCATAGAGAGGTCAGTTATACTGAGTTTCCCTGGACAACGGTCATTATTCAGAAATATCAGACTGCTGAATGCCACGATTGACCAGTCAGAATCAAGCATCCCAGAGCACCATGTAGGTACTCTTATGCAAAAGGCAATTACAAGATTACATTGATTTTTGTTCTTCTATGCTATTCATGTACAATTTTTTAATCTCTCAAAACAAATTATTATGCTGATAATATCATTTGTAATCAAAATACATTCATTTTCATTATTGGTCTCAGACTTTTGGATGCCACGGTAGCTTTAGATACCTAAGAACAATGGCACATGGAGTAACAAATGCCCTTCACACATGCAGTCATATACACACATTTATATTCTCCATCTGTCGTGTATGATAATGCATGTGGTTTTGTGACATGGTACTATCTGACACAAGGTCACCCATTTCTTTCTCCCAACAAACCTCCTGCATGTTTCACATAGGAAGTAGTATCTAGTGTGGTATTAAGCCACTTCCTCCGTGCAACAACTATCTGGGAGAGACAGACACCGCTGAAAGAAACACACCCACACCCACTCAATACAACACATGTGTTTGACCAGGCAAAACACTCTCAATCATATAAATGATGCTATTTTTGTGCCTGTTTAACCTACTGCTAGGGTGAGATGATGTTTAAATTAGCAATTTAATTACAAAGCCATACAAATCTCATCTGATAAAACAGACAGAACCACAGACATACAGTATATACAAAAATCAAACAGAAATATGTAGCTACTCCCTTCACAGAAGTGCACATGCAGAGAAAAATAGATTGGAAAGAAGAAGAAAAAGGATATGTAAATATATAAATACAAAGAAAAGCTAAAATATGCCAGTCCTCACCAGTTCAACTGATCCATAGTGTTTCCGGCTGAACTCTCCTCTCCGGCACCCAAGATCCTCTGACGCTGAGCTGCAAAACAGCATATAACCATTTAAATTCATTTCATAAAGGCACACAATAAGTTTTGCAATGCAAATCTTTTTATTGTCTTGGAATATTTGTATATTTTATGATTTTAAAACATTCGTATTGCTGATGTGATTTCCTATTGAGAAATTCTCTGACTTATCAACACATGTGAACACCTAGAGCATCTAGAGCATAAAGAAACGGTATTTTAGTTTCAATACCAGAAACCTGCATTCCAAAAAGTAGGAGCCCCTGTTCAGACGATTTGTGCTACCCGGTCAGATTGTATGTGGTACCTCCCATTAAAAAGATAGGTAGCACAAATTGATAGTGAAAAAATGCTACCTATCAGATTGTTCTACCAGCATCTTATTCATGTGGTTTGAGGCTTTTTTAAATGTCCATACCTACCCCTACCCTAAACCTACCCGTCCATACCTACCCTTGACCTAAACTTACCCTTAAAACAATGCAAATATATTTTAGGTAGTATGTTTCATCGGTACACCCTGCCAACTCAAATCCCTGTGATGTCATAGCCTGACACTTTCCGAGTGAAGTAGTTTCAGATTATTAGAGCGAGAACCACATGCTCAGTGACTCTAGACATCACACATCTTCCCAAAACCTCAAAGAGGATCTCTCTCATTAAAACCAATTCACAGGAAGACCGTAATGGCACTAAAGGTGTGTAATTTCTGTGCCGCTAGCATTGCCTAATAAAATAGCAAATGTTTCCAATAGGTTTCCCAAATATTCCCCATCAGAGCTCAACAATAAGGATGGATGACCCACTAGACGGAACTATCAACTTTCCCTATCAAGTCAATGCAGGTGCATTGCAAGCAACAAAAATGTTTACATGCCAGTGTTTTCCATCAAAAGTGTGAGCATCGATTTCACTGAGTGACTTTAAAGTTGTATAATTTCCAGCTATTATTGCGAATAAGAAATTTGATTTATTTGTAGCATAAACTAGTATAATCAATTATATAAAATATTTTTTTATTCTAACTACTTGAGCCCTTTCCTGTCTGCCATTGGCCGGGCGAACACATAGTCCCACCCTCAAACTGATGCCATTGGTTGAGCCAGTGTTGCTATGTCAGGATGAGATGCTCAAACCTAGAAAAGCATTGCCAACCTACAGTGTTTACTTTTCAGGGGCATCAACCTACGAATGGCTTACTTATAGTTGTCTCTGTATATTAAACTGGGATATGAAAAAAGTATTTCAACATTAATAAAAATAAAAACATCAATTTAATAATGCTGCTGTTTTAGTCAACTACTTGTGATTCTGGCTAACTTCTTTTTCATAATATTTGCTTTGTTGAAGACAACATCTCTTCTGACTGAGGTTTAAACAATTTATATGCTGAGCCACATGAGCGCTTACATTTATTATAGGCATTTCACTTCAAGTGCAATATAAATTGTGCTCGTGGACAAACACATTTCCTCTGTGTGAGGGCTATCATTAATGCAGCTAAGAATGTCTTTACTGACAACAGAAGAGATACTGCACATCATGCATATATATATCGCGGTCTAAGTTGCAGGCAGATTCTGCAGACTTTGTTTCCATTTTGTACATTTACAGATTTTTATGGATTTAAATATGGTAAAATGTGTTTAACGGTACTCTAATTTAAAGCTGAAAGTGTTATACAGGGTTCCCACTCTTTCATGAACACCAGATTCAAGGGCTTTCAAGGACTTTTTCAAGCACCATTTATGCTCCCCCATCTCCACCCCCAATCATTAGTGCCACTTGTTCGGTCTTTGACAGAACATATAAGACAATTTTTTAAATAGCGCCATAAACAAAATGTATTTCAAATTTAATTCAAGCACTTTCAAGGACCTATGTTTGTTTTCAAGTACTTTCCAGGCCTTGAATCCATATGTCTGAAATTCAAGTACTTTCAAGTACTTTCAAGAAGCGTGGGAACCCTGGTTATATAATAAGCCAAAATGTTTAATACATTTTAAGACAAAATGCACAAGTGATTCCTGCGAACAGGACAAGGAAGGGAAGGAGTGGCTCATCATTAGATGATTTACTGTGGCACGGGGCTGAAAGAAACCTGCTTCAAATTCAGAAACACTACCCTGGAGGAGAAAAAAATTAACAGCTGGACATAAAGACATCTTAAGATGCAAAACAGCTTATTGTTTCACTTGTATCTTCAAACAAACCTTTGATTTTTGCTCATGATTGAATGCTTCCATTGATATAATGAATCACTTCACAAAAATTTGATTATTTTTATGAAAAGAAATCCTATAATGATTATGATAGTAGTAGGTAGATGACTGTGTTTGCGATTATGATAATGATGACAGCAACAGCATTACATAATTAGCACAGCATTACCCTCTGGTAATACTGCGAAACCAAATATGGTCAAGTTTGTTCACAGTAATCACTCCTGTTATGCATCTGCGATAATAATTTTGTGATAATGATCTGGCATGATATCATGTTTCCAGTGATGCCTTAGACATTTGCAGACTTGCCACATGACCGAAGAAAAAGCTACAAGTGAAGCTGTCGCAGACAGTCTGATAACAAACGTCTAACAATGCAATCATTAAGAGCAAAATTGAACAAACACATACAAAGATAGTATGGGAGGGAAAGAAGGACATTTGAAAATCACTTATTTTAATTGAAAAATTAACTGGACCACTTCTCTTCTCTGTCTACATGGCATCACTAGGTTCTGTCATTCAGAAACATGGCTTTTCATATCACTGCTACGCTGATGACACTCAACTCTACCTCTCATTCCGTTCTGAATATCCAACGATAGCTGCTCGCATCTCCTTATGTGCCCTCTAGAAGCTTGCGTTCTGCAAGTGAACGTCGCTTTATTGTGCCATCCTAAAGAGGCACAAAATCACTTTATCAGACTTTTAAATTAAATGTTCCCTTCTGGTGGAATGACCTGCCCAACTCAATCCGAGCAGCTGAGTCCTTAGCCATCTTCAAGAATCGGCTAAAAACACATCTCTTCCATCTTTATTTGACCCTCTAACTCTAGCACTCTCTATTCTAATTCTATTCTTTATAAAAAAATAAAAAAAATAACTTGCCCCTTTTAGACTTGCACTCTATTTATTTACTAACTGCTTGTTTTCTTTAAAAAACTTGCTTCTCTAATCTTTTTGCATTCTATTTGTTTTCTTTTTATTTATTATACAATTATAATTCTGATTTTCTGATTTCTGATTAACAAAAGCAAAAAAGGCCTCTAACACTAGCTTTCTCTATACTTTATGTATTCTGTTTTTTTTTAATTTATTATATGATTTAAAAAAAATCATATAATACTTTTACTTGTACTGCATTAAGCTGAGACTTGTTATAGCACTTGCATATCATTGATCTTTTGTAGATTTTGATTGCTTCCATTGTCCTCATTTGTAAGTCGTTTTGGATAAAAGCGTCTGCTAAATGTCTAAATGTAAATATAATGTAATGTACATATTTATTTTTTACCTCAAATGCTACAGGTCAAGAGTTCGAAATGGCTTATGTGTTGCATTGTTGTGATGACACATGATCTGTCAAGTGGTATGTGTGTGGCTTTGTTTGTAAAAAATACTATTACTGTAAAAATGTGTGATATGCTTCTGTTGGGACACGTCAACAGGTGGATTTTTGTCCTGCACTCAATGGATGGATGGCTACATTATGTTGTCATGTAAATAATTGCTGAGTGACATCACGCACACCTCAAATTACAGCAGATTCGCTGCGGTGTTGAGGAAAACCTCCTATGATTGTGGATGCCTCACTGTCACAACACTTTACCATGACCACAAACCGTCTTAAAATGAACACCAAAACCACCTTTCTTTCATATTTTAATCAGAGAAAACATCATGTTTACTGTTTACTACGCCAGTCGCTACAGTGGAGCATGGATATCCACTCTACCGAGAGGTATTCGCATGAATAATTTACCGATTTTCCGTACTAGTATATCCCACTACTACACTGTGGGGAAGTCTAAAACATTTTGTCTAAGCAGAATTGTATCCTATAGGCTATACGTAAGACAAAGCAGCGGAGGTTTTCCCTTTCCCACATGAATTCAATCTACTTCAGATGCAAAGACGTGTGGACTCTACAACTATTGCTGCGGTGCTGAACGAAAAGAGCGCAGCTTCTTAAAGAGATAGTTCAGCCAAAAATGTATATTCTGTCAATTAAACACTCCCGTGTTGTTTTAGACTTCAGAACACAAAAAGAGATTTTAGACAAGCCACCACCGACTTTTATTGCATATTTCCATAAAATGAAACTGACTGGTGACTGAGACAGACATTCTGCTGTACATCTACTGACATAAACAAAGAAAGTCATACGGGGTTTGTATTGTAATAATATGAGGGTTGAGTAAATTATTACAATTTTCGTTTTTTTGGGGGGGAGGGGGGTTAAGTGTCCGTTTAAAATGACTAGACTAATTAAAACACACACACAGACACACGCAAACATTTATGAGAATTAAAATGTAAGCTTGGAATGCCAGTTTGTAAAAAATAAAGATGAAAGATTTATGCTTTAAGTGCTTATTTCCAATACCCGCATCCAATATGTTGATTGAACACTTCGGGGAGGGTGCAGCTTGTTGCACGTTCAAATGAGATGCAAGAGTCTATAACCCCTGATACTGCTGCAATATGACTGTGCCAGACTGAATATATGATCTCAATGTAAATGTCAATGTCTATAAAAAATATGAAGTAACTGAATGCTTTACCGTTGGTTGAAACTCAACAGTTTGTTCGCTGCGGGGTCTGCACCGCTCATGGCCCCATGCGATGTTATTCTCTCCCGCAGTCCAAGTTCTTCTGTCCCTCGCCTTTTTTCTTAGTCTTCTCTTTCAAAGAGACAGATCAGTAAGCGTAATTTTCCCTACAGCTGCTCGTGCTGCTGTATCCCTTCATTGCGTTGCCTCTAAGTATACTGGAAGCGCGTTTCTACCGGTCCCGTTCTTAATGCACCTGATGGTCGCAGTGGTGAGTTTCATATGGACACACAGGACACACCTCGCGCGTAACTGAACATTCAAGAAGCAGATTCTCGTAGACTGGAGTCCCCTTACGGCCGCGCGCCGTGCTCGTGACCGAGAGAGTCAGGTGGGGAGCTTGTTAACAGCAAATTCTCTATTATCTCTCTCTTTATGTGTGTCAGTGTTGCGTTGCCAAATCAATAGACCAATAGCAAAATGATAAAAGACGAGAAAATATTAAAGAATGAATGACACTAAATTAAACCTATAAAGCCAAATAACATAAAATGCAACATAACACAGTGCCAATTATAAGACGAATTATTCTTCCATTCTTCATATAGATATGTATATGTATGTATATGTAGCTATGTGTATGTAAGTGTATGTATATATATGTGTGTATATATATATATATATATATATATATATGTATAGGCGTATGTACAGTTGGGAAGGTTACTTTGTCATGAAGTGACTCAGAGCAGTTCTAGAAATTATGTTTATGTGTTCTTGTACTCATATATTGAGGTGGCAGAGGCTGAAAACAACACGAGCTTCAGTAGGCCTATGTGTAGTGAATGAAACCGCATGCTCTCTCTCTCTCGCATTGATTACTCTGATCTGATCCAAACCGTTTGGCGGAGGCGCTGAGAGTGCGCGAGCCGAAGCATTGCCAGTCACGACTAACCAATTCATGATTTAGACTGGATTCTACGAACCAGTCTGTGCATGTTTTCCGCATCGCGGACATTATAGGGCCGTATGTCTCAGAGTAGTCAGTGCAATTTGGGAAAGAAATCAATTAAATCTGTATGTGGATGTGTGTAAATATTCAAATGTAATAACCTTTGTAATCGTTAACATTTTCATAAGTAACTGTAATTTAATTACACATTTTTTCTTAGTAACTGTAACTGATTACAGTTACATTTATTTTGTAATTAAATTACGTAACGCCGTTACATGTAACTAGTTACTCCCCAACACTGCGTATGTATATATTGCACTGTTTTGCAGTGTACAAATATACAAGACCGGTCTCTCTCTCTCTCTCTCTCTCTTTCTCTCTCTCTCTGTCTTACACATACAGAAACACTCGGTGAAATATTTTAATTGGAATATTTAATTGCCTTTGCGGCAAAGTGATTTAAAGGGTGAAAGATTATTATGAATCGAGTGCATTCACTGAAATACTGAGCATCTTTTTATTACAACAGTTTCCTTCCATGTCTGTTCGTTTTGCTGTCAACATCATTTTTTAAGGCATTTACAGTCACTGCCTATGGTGCGTTGAACAGCGTGTAAAGCTACCCGAGATCATCATGCTGTAGAGCCAGACAGCTTCTCATTAAGACGCTCATTTACATTAGAAAGATTCAGGCTGGCATGATTTTTAATAATGTCACAACTGGTGACTGTGACTTACAGCTGCTTCATCATGGCAAAGGAATAACAGTCTTCACTAGTTCTGTATGCAAACGCATTACTTTATGAGGTGAGTCCATGCAAATGAGGATAACCGTAATTTCCACTGGAAAAGGCAGAGCATTAGCCATATGTGTTTGCATGCATGTGAAATGTGACTGTGTGCATGTTTTGACATCTGTCTTCAAGGACGCTGTGCACTTGGCATTCACACCATCCAGAAATGACAAGCATCCCTCTTCCTATGTATGCGGTTCTAGACAGTTTTTTTCCCCCTTATGATCTCATAACCTTAATTTTTCTTCCTGTTGCCCCAGGTCTACCCATAATCCTTCTGTCTAGCACAGAAGTGAGGGGTGCAATGAGGTCATTGTTCAGACAATAACCTTTTCTTCTCATTTAATCTCTTGACTCACCCTCACTGACTGATGATGTCACACACTCAGACACATCTCCATGCCTGCTCTGTTCATTACACACCTGCACCTGCAGAACATGTAACTCTTTAAATACTAGACAGTTTGTGAGACAGAGAGAAAATTAGATTATGAGAGTCTTGAGTATATTAAGTAATACGAGAATCCTGGGATATATAGTAGGAAGTGGGCGGAGACTTAATTCCAGACTGTTTAATGCTCTTCATCAGTATTCCTAGCAGAACAGCATGTTATCAGACAAACTGAGGCGTGCAGTAATAGACTCCACCACAAACGTAACATGAGCAGCGTGTATCTGGTATGTAAGTCCCTCCCTGATGACATCACAGGTAGTAATGGATCATTGAGAACAGGTAATGAATAATTTTGGAAACCTATATTGAGATTAAATTGAGATGTGTGATTAAAACATGTGTTTGAGGTTATAAAGATGATATTTTGAAAGAACTATTCCCAGTCAACACGTGAGATCATGCGATGATCACAGTGACATCACACGATCCTCATACTGTGATCCTCACGGTGTGAGTAGTA